TGGCCGTCTACTTTATTCAATATAAATATCTAATAATCTAAATCTAATATTTATATAAAATATGTTACGCATTAGTATTAATAGTATTAGTATACATTTTTTCTCATATCCCTACGGCTGACTTCCATGCAAACGACGCTACTGCGTTAGCTGTTAGTGTTGATAGTTGTTTTTGCAGTATTGTGTATTATTTTTTACTTTTCGCATTATTATTTAACTACAAAGGATACAAAGCGCAAACGATCAACATTTTTGTTTTGTCACACAAATCACCGTTATTGATTATTAAATATGGACAATAATTATCCAAGTAAGTTACATTAATTACGGAAATATTATAATATTATTATCAATATAGTTATATAAAATAATACCTATTGAACAAATGAATTAATTAGGTTGGTATATTATAGTACCTATATGTACCTATACAATATACATACGTATATTGTCCATATGCCATATACGTTTTTAGAACCCAGCTATATGGTTTATATTCAAAAATATATTCTGTAATACTTGAACTAAATAGTAGATATTCAGGATATTTTACTATTCCTTAATTTTAGGAATGTTTTAATACTTTTCTTGATAGTTTTATAGTCTACTTCATATTATGTTGTTGTTATTACAATTTAAATTTTCAATTTATATTCAAATACTTAAATTACTAAATTAGTAATTGTTTTGAAGGTGCTATATTAAAGTATCCTTATCTTTTCTTGTACAATGATGATTAGAAAACAATATTTAATTAATATAAACTATTAAGTAATTGTGTAATAAACGAAGACTACCTGATTCATTGTTAATATTAAGTATTAACATTTTTTATAGAAAGAAATTTGTGATTTAAGTTTTTAGTACAAATCAAGAACAGATCAAATGAACTCAAATGGCCACATATTTCTAATTATTTCGAACAACTAAAGTCAAGTGACTTAAATTTAAATTCGAACAATTTAATCTTTAAATGCCTGATCTGTGACCTAAAAGAAAAACAAGTGTCTACTTCTAAATTATCTAATTCAAATCTTAGAACACATATAAAAGTAAGATACCTATACGGCTATACCTACCTTTAAATTATATGTAGGTATACATTGAAATTCAAGTTTAAAGTTGATTTCTTTAAAAAAAAACTATAACTGTTTACATGGTTATATCAAAAAGTAGGTTGATATTAATAATTGTATTTATTAGTTCAATATGCAATACTTACAAAACCATTTATAACTTTAACTTTATTTTGATGTTTATATACATACCTATTTTTTTTTATCTATATCATTTAAAAGAGTATTTGCAGTTTGAACTAGAATATTTTACAAATTATTTTATTTGTTGTTATTTCAGCTTAATCATCCAAGTGAGTTGATAGAATTTAACAATTGTGCCAAAAAAAAGACCAATAAATTCTTCTACGTTTATAGCTCATAAACAACTAAAATTGAGTGAGGTTGGTAAAGTACAACCAACCAAAAAGTTGAATCAAAATCAATTTGACAGGGAAAATATAAAACTAATAATTGAAACTGTATCACATTTTTCATTTATCGAACATCCTGCATTTATAAACTACTGTAGTGTGACATCTAATAAAGTTCCTGCATCATGTAGAAACTTCATGCGTGATGTAAAATTTTTATACGCCAAAATGATTAGTGAAATTGTCCGAAACTTGGAAAAAATTAAATATGTATGTATTACAGCAGATTGTTGGAGCATATTTCACAGGTAATAATATATAATATAATATAATATAATTATATTTCATGTAGATAAATTAAATTTTTATTTTGATTATTTTAGATCATACATAGGATTTACAATCCGCTGGATTAATCCTCTGACATTGGAAAGATGTTCTAAAGCTACTAGCTTGCAAGCGAATGATAGGAAGACACACATATGATAATATTGCAGAATCAANGCTCAATGAATTTAAAATTCAAAATAAAACAACTTTAATAGTCACAGACAATGCTGCAAATTTTGTAAAAAGTTTTAGGTAAGTAGGTATTTTTTTTATACTTAATAATTTTCCATTGTTAAATTTGATTTATATTTTACAAGAACTTCTACTAATTACTAGAGGCCAGATTTCTATGTCCTCATAAAGATTAAAAAAAAATGTTTTATGCAGTTAAAATTAAGAAATAATTTCTCATATAGTACTTTGAATTTTCCTTCAAAATAAGCTTTTACTAAAACAGAAAATGAATATTTTGGTTTTTAACTGTTTCAAAAATACAAACTATTAACTTTTTATGTTAATTACTTTCAATAAATTCAACCAACAACTTTAAAAAAATCTAGTTGATAGGTATTTCATTCATAATATTGTTAATAAATTCTAAAAGCATATTGATATCAGTTAAATTTTTAAAATAATTTAAATTAGATTTAATTATTAAAATAATTTAAGATGAAAAATAAATCAATGGGATATTACTGTTTGCTTTTTTGGTTAATAAATATTATATAATCAAAATATAATCTCAATTTCATTATTTTATAGAGTATACAGTAAAAATGATAATGATTCTGCTACAAATGATGATATTGATTTTACTGGGGCTATTGAAGTCTCTGTTGAAATCACTAATGCTCTTAGTTCAGAACAGAACATTGATCAACTTCTGAATATATCATTGCCCCCACACCAACGTTGTTCGGCTGACACATTAAACTTAATAGCATCTGTTGATATTCAAGAAGCTGAAAAAGATTTTGCATATAGGACCATAAGCCTAAAAGTATTTAAAAAATGTCAAGCGATTTTCAACAAGCAAAATCAGTCTACATTAAGTGCAGATATAATTAAAAATCATCTTGGACGGTATCTCATCACACCGAATGCCACCAGGTATCTCTGTACTAGTTTCAATAAACTATATATTATTCAAGAATAAATTATTATAATATTATTTTGTTTTATGCAAATGGAATTCTTATTATGACGCTATAAAATGCATTGTTGAGAACAAGGAAAAGATGGACCAAGTAAGTACTGATTTACAACTGCCTACCATTTCAAGTCCTCGTAAAGTCTCATTCCTACAAGAATGTAACTTTTACATACATATTTAATATTTGTTACCTAATATATGAATAATTGTTTTATTTTTAGATCATGAAACCTTTATCTAGAGCTTTAGATATATTACAGGGTGATAAAAATGTATCATTAGGATATTTGCTCCCCACGATTAATGCTCTTCAAAAATCTTTAAGTGAAATGAACAATATTATTTTTTGCAAACCACTTGTGAATTCTTTTCAACGAGGATTAAATAAAAGGTAATATTTCTGTTTAAAATAGTACTTAACTAAGTAACTAAATGCTTGAAATGCTTAAGAAAATGATAAAAACATAATTTTGTGTTAATTAAATTAGGTATTTGTATTACATAATAATTAATATACCAACACTAGAACCAGAATTTTTATTTTATTTTTTAATAACTATATTTTAATAAATGTAAATACCATGCATTTTGTTTTAAAACTTTTAATAATTTATGGTTCTTATTATCAATATTTTTGTCAAAATAGTGGAAAAGTTAAATGCTGTATTCTAATATTGTCTCAAAAAGATAAATTAAATTAATTGTTAGATAGTCATTATTTTAATTTGTTTTATACGTAATTCAATTAATATATATTTAAAATAAGTAAATATAAAAATTGTATTGAAATAACTTCATAAAATCATTTATATTTTAATTTTTAGATTCATGATATACATGCAGTCCAAGATGTGCCAAATTGCAGCTTAGTTAATTGTTTAGTTCCAAAATTTAAATTAAATTGGGTTACAGAAGAAGAACAGAACGGCATTAAGAATACTTTTATAGANGTTTTGGGGAAAATAGTTCTGATACAAATGTTGATATCAAACTTCTGGTCAATAATTATTTGTCTAATGGAAATTTAAAATCTCCATTAGAAATGCCAATCATCCTTAAGGATATGTATATTAAATATAATACCGTACCTTCTTCTGCACATGTGGAACGGTTATTCAGTGCTGGAGGTCAGTTGTTGAGCAAAAAAAGAGGATCAATGGCAGACCAAAATTTTGAGATGTCGTTATTAATGAAATTTAATAGGTATTTTGAGTTGATTTTTTGTTTTATTTTAAATAAACAGTATAATATTAATATATTATCTTTATTAGTATGTATTGTGTCTGTTGTAAAATTTTAACTTTAAACCGCAGAAATTATTTTTGGTTTTTGTCTTTTGATAGACATAGCATGTTTATGAACTTAAAAATATATTTTTTTAAATTACATTTATAAGTTCACTTTGTAGGAATCATCACCTAGGTTTATGTATTGTCTATAATACTACATGATTAATTAAAATACTACTACAAAATATGGAATAATTGAAAATAATACATTTTTTTTAATAATAAATATTACATTAAGACATTTTTATAGGTATTGGAATGAATAATTGCAAATTTAAATGACTATTCAATAAAATAATTATTTAACATTTGGTTGTTGTTCCACAGTGAATTATTATTATGTGATATTATCATTATGAGTGACAAATGAATAAAACTACAAAAATTATCATAAATCTGACATTTGAGTATTTTAAAACCATCTTAACAAAGAAATTTTATCTAAATACTTTTTGTCTACATTAATGTAGGGTAAAAAAATAGAAAACATGCATGGCTGAGGTTAATTTATTTGTTTTCATTGTAATATTTATTAAGTTTTGTAAATTATGAGTAGAAATCTCTTACTTTGACACCTTACAAATTTTTATTTTTTTCTTGTAATTAACTTAACTTATTAATTGAAGTTAAGTTAAGTTAACCAAATTTGTTAACTTATTCTTTAACTTAATTGGTGTGATTACCATATTAATTAACTTAATTTAAATTAGTTAAAAATTCATTAACTTGCTCAGGCCTGCCCGTAGCGCGACATCCCGGAAAGTGTTCACTTTTTTCGGAATTTTCGTCGTTTTCCTGGGCGAAACAACTATGAACTTTTGATTATCAAATGGGGCGCCCTTTATAGTGAAAATTCCGCAAGCAGACGGAGTGGGTGTTAGTTGAAATAGATTTCGGTTTTGACATTTTTGATTCCCGTTGGCGGGTCAACGAGATATTCTACTTTTAATTACGGGTAGGACGAGAGTAGTACGTGATGGCCGTGTCGCCATAAAAGTTACGGAGGCCATACGTTTTTGACTCCTGATTACCAAAACCTTTTATAGAGTTGTCTCCCGATGAAGAGGTGATGTTCCGGACCTCTCTTGAAATAAATATCCGAAATATTTAACTAAAGCGCTTGTTTTAATTTATTTTACTACTAAAACTATTAGTGCTTGCTCCAAGTACTTCTTACGATTCAGACTAGTTACGATTTACAACTACCCCCCTACCCCCAAGTATCTAACACGCTCTAAGATAAATCACCATCACCATTTCAGTAAAAAAACGCGGGGAAAGCGCATGTATCTTAATGCACATTTTCAATTGTAGTTTGATTAACATTAAGCCGTGATTCCGACTAATCGGCCGATATCTGTAAACTTTTTTCCGGGGGTACCAGTTAAGGGGCAGCGAATTTTTTAAGGGCACCCGGTACCCTGGGCCGCCCCTAGAGTCAAATCGTACCGTACATCTAGTTTAAAAACCCACTAATTTTCTTAGACTTTCTTCGTCCAAAAATACGTGTTATTTTTACTTATTCATATCACATACTGTATACCGTTTTCGCGCAGGTTATAGGTGATAAAAAAAAAAAAAATAGATTTTCGCGACGGGCTGTAGACTTTTTTTTTCCGATTTGCCATCACCGTCGGCGACGCGATAAAAACCTATCGCTGGACAAATCGCCTTTACCTAACGTAATATTTTAAACGTTGTCACTGCAGCGGCGACGCGGTAAAGTCTTGTACATAACGATATTATAACTATTCCAACAATGTATTATTATTATTGTCCACTCACCTGTCGGTCCTAACCACGTATACGCGTACAGTAGTCTCCCGTCAGTAACCCCGCCGAGAGGACGTGGTCGTCCTTCCACAATCCGACGTCATCGGTTGGATATGGTATTAGTGTTCGATTAAGCACGGGTATTATTTGTGTGTCAACTCGCACAACATGCCAACAGGCGTGTGCGTAAATATATTTTAAAAGAAAGAGGATTCGAGATTACAACGATAATCAAGGATAAGATTAGTATTTAGGCTATAGGTACCGATAAAAATAAAACAAACGTGTATAATAAGGGGATTCAACAAACGTAGCGAAGCCGTAAGATTTTTTCTGAAAACACTGATTTGAATTCAGCGTGAAGTGTACATATATGAGATCGGTCGGAACGCCATGTCATTTCGAATTTAATTTTATACGTTTTCAAATCTTCAAATCAAATTTTTTTAAATTCGAATCGCTTAACGCTTCACTACATCGATCGGACTGATTGCTCGAAAACTGGTCTAAATTGCTATATGCTGATTATACGTATTAGACAGAGAAAGAATCCAATCTCCTTAAAACACCGACGGTTCGGCGTCTTGAAAATAAAACGCCTAGTGGATTTTGTTTTATTTACATGGTGTTAGTAATATATCGACCGAGTTTATTTCGATATTCACCAAAAATAGTCAGACGCGCTGTATAAACGCCACGCATGCAATTGTTTATGATAAACCGCGTTAATAAATTATTACATAATTTTTCGAATCACGATTACATCACTCGTATAATAACCACTGTACAATATTATTTAGCGAACGAAAGTTGTGTCAATAAAATTTAAATTTATCGTTTGTAAACGGCATAATAATAGTCGGATACCATTCGGCACGTCCGCCACTCGTAGCTCCCACCCGTCCGCTAATATTCGACGATTGGACCACCACGTCATCACGGTCCGGTCCGTCACCCGTTTTTCGCGATCGTCATCGGTTAGGTATGATGCGCAGGTGTTTAGGTTATATTGCACCTAAATAGTGATACTTTTACTGCGATCCAGCGATTCGCTCGGATGATTTTTAGTGAATAATATTTTTGGTTTTTTGTGTATTGAGTTTACTTTTATTTGCGTCTGTGAACATCAGCTTTTCTACCACAAATCTTGCTCCAATTAAAATGTTCGCAAGATCTTGCTTGTGGTGTTTTTGATCTAAGTGGTGCATTGAGGCGGTCGTTTGTTGATTGTCTTATTAGTTTTATTAATAAAAAGGAAAAACTAGCAATTATTGATGTAACATATTGTATAGTTTTTAATGATTTCTGGGTTATCTTAGCAACAAAGCAATAAATACGACCTAAGAATACTCGGCTCAGAATCGTCTCTCGTTAGTGTTGGTTACGTACAAGTACAAATTAAATTAATCTTTGCATCCTTCATTCTAATTTTCCTCCTAAGACATCAGCAGTTTATTAGCTTTTATTTTTTTTATCAATTATCATTTTTATTTGTTTATGTTAAAGTTTTATTTTCACACTGTTTATAGCTATTTATCCCTAGTCCTTATAACTTGGAGGCGAGTATTTGAATCTATTGACTTTTGATTTTCAAAATAGCATGTTCTTTTCAAAGAAGATTCAAAAAAAATATATATATATTTTATCGGAAAATGTTACATTATGTTTAACGGATTTACCGTTTTGTGAGTCAAATAACAGTTTAAAATTTAGAACGGGGGAGTAGGTACGGTTTATTGATCATAATGATGTAATCGACCATATGATAAACAAAATTGGCATGTATATTATTCACGTTAGTACTTAAATACATATTTACGGGTGGACGTTAAAAGTCGACCTTAACCGTGCCGTTCGGATTATTAACAATAACAGTTTTATTAGAATTTGTTGTCGAAAATTCCCTTAAAATACAATACTGTATTATATAGGATCACGATTTCACGGAACCGGACTGGACAGGAATTCGTGACGTGCGTCACGTGTATAAAACGTAACCGATAGCTCGAAAATGCGTGTACAGTGTACACCGCAAGTGTCGGACCGAGAAACAATCGGGCAATAATTTCGCAAGACCTATTGCCACTGCCCTACTCTGCTCAATCCGTACAGGCTTTAAGCCCCTAAATCAAAATTCACAATAGAAAAATATGTTACAATTTTATTCAAGATACCGTGATGGCTGACGACAGTACTAATCACGTCGTCGTCGTAGCCGTTGAATAAAATAAAAATAAAATTCTGGGCACACATATACTCAACAGGGTTGCCACTCATACTATTTTTCGAAGTATTTCACTTGTTTTTACTTCTCTACTTATATTCATCTACGTATATTTTACATTTTACAGTTTGAACAATGTACGCTGAAATGTATGTGTATAATATTTAGACATTTTGTTAAAATTAAATGGTTCTAAATCCAAAAAGTAAAAAAAAAGAAAGGAAATTCCCAAAAAGTTAAATGAGGTTTCACGGTTTTTTGATAAAAAAAAAAAAAAAATTAGGTAGCTAATAATCAAAAAAAAATATCCCGTATCATACTGTTATTTATTTTGATAACAAAAATATGGATATCCGTGAACACCACGAGTAGATTACTGTTGTGCACAAGAAGTTTAGAAGATGTAGTTGATGTAGGGTAATTTAGTCTATAGTCTTAAAAAACAACGAAACATTATCTGGTAATGGTAACATATATAACGTTACCAGTTAACGTTATATATGTTATTATTTCCCTTGCAGCCGATAAAGAAAGGTAACCTCGGAGTTAACAAAAATAAAACCGATTTATGTTGCCAATTTTTTTAAAAATGTTCTGGAAAACTATTGAAAATCAAATTGTAGTTTTTTTTTAAATTTTTTGAAATAAGACGTTACCGGACGATACGTTCGCCTTTTTTGAAGTACCACGACGTGTATATAATTCGGAGCGTTTTCATTAGCCGAAAGAAAAGAACACATCTCAGTAAAAATAATTGCTTCTTCACCACGTAGTGATAATCTAAAAATAAAACGTAAATGCAATATACTGTCTCTGCCACTCTTCAGAGTTAAAAAATAAATATCGTTCCCGAGTTTAATATATGTATAGATATATTATGATCTACATAAACGTTCACCTTTGACGTTAGCAAACGATTAATTATCAATTCCGAACGCCACGTAATGTAGTAGTGAGACGACTTTGATAAATGAAATATAATTTTTTTTTTTTAAATATCGACAAGACATGACGAGACATAGGTATAATGGTTTAATCACGAGTCTTGTATTGCTTTCGAATTGTTTAGCAAAGTCACAACGCGTATAATAATATGGTAGGTATGATGTTATTATTATACGTTTACTGGTTTACTTATTATACTCGTGTATTATCATTACTATTATCTGTGTGACTATGTCTTGAAATGAGTTTTTCAAGAACAGTGCCTATAACAATATAGTGCACAGTGGTAATAGTCGTTTAAAATGATAATATCAGATAGATAGTGGAAAAAAATACAGTGAAAGCCAAATAGACAAATAATAATCTTTTAATGATAATTTATTTATTTCAGGTAATGCGAACAATGAATTAAAAACTGATCCAGTTTTTTTTCTACATTATGCGCATTGCGAACAGTGAAGAAAGTATTAGTTTTATAAAAGTTCATTTTTTTTCCATTACAAAATGCTTTATACGGTTAATAGACACCTAGCGATTTTTCAAAATAAAATTCTAAAAAAAAAAAAAGTTATAATAAGTTTTAAAAAGTATGGGTTATACTATAGTATAATATCTTCATGAGTTTACTTATCTCCGCTCAGAATGGTTTTTTGATTGTCATGGCTTTTCGTTGATTTCATTATATTATATTATGTCCAAATTTTTTTTTATGCACAGGGCATACAAACTGTCGTTACGACTAAACCACTACAATTATATTTTCCCTATAAAATAATTGGAAAATTCACGTATACGATTGTTGAACAACTTTTGAAACTCTGGCGTTCCGGAGACTTAAACGCCTTACGCAAAACGTATTTATATTTATATTTCCTATATTACGCGATTTGGTCCGAAATGATTATTTTTCTCGTTCGAAAACTGACATTGCCCTTGCTAAAAACCGCAACAATATTATTGTATACTATATTATATTCTTCTATAATATATAAATTCGCCGCGTTCAAATATTATACGTGTGCACCAACGATGTTTTCGAGGTCTTTTCATTATAATATTACGTCAAAACATCGAAATCTAATCCTTCATATATATTATTCAGGTTCGTCGAATGGATTTCTACAGCCGTTTGCGCACACGCATAGGGTCCATCAGTTATACGGGCATTGTTCCAAAATTTTTGCAAAATTCCGATATTGCATAACGCAATAATTTCGTACGAAACATATCTATTTAATGTATATCATAATATATACGCTTTGACGCTTATTCGTATCTATACTCAAGAGCGTTGTGCCAAATTACTCGAATATCCTGTTTAACGTTTTATGTAGTTTGCTCGCGACAATGTACCTATACATATAAGTACATATAGGTATATTGTATATAATTCGAAAATATATACAAAATAAAAAAAATCGTGTAGTAATATTACCTACTCGGTTAAAACGATTTTATCCGTATAAAACCAAAAAAAAAAAAAAAATAAAAAAAACATGACAATTCCAAATATTTATAAATAGTTCAAAAATCGATCGAAAGTCCCGAATATTTTACCACGTCTAGAAAGAGGAAGTATTTTGTGTAATTTTCAGATCTCTACGAGTATTGTTGACCGAATGGCAATATCGAAAACAAAATCCGAAAATAACCGCGTAAATTTTCCCTTTTTTTCCCGATTTTCCATCATTTTTAGGAAATTGACACGGAATAATATCAATAACAAACGAGGCCTGCTCTAGCAATAGACCTAAAAGGCCGGGAGATGGTTTCTCTAAAGTATTTGATTAGATTGAGACGTCTGGTCAAAAAATAAAACCGACTCCGTTCCGCTAATAATCTAAAATCAATACAAGTGTTCGCATAATAACGTAATATATAATATTACGAGTATATAGTACCAAACAAAAAGAAGATGTAATTGGCGACGATTTTTGCAAAGCTATATTATAAGTATAGGTTGAATGCATGATTACATCTAGATGAGGATATTACAACGTCGCTATATTATACACTATACATTTTAATGGGATATAATATTATAATCGTGTTTAATAATATGATGATTTTAAAACCAGTATTTGCAGTTCATATTTTAAAATTTAACTGTTGGTAAATTATATACTACAGTCTTGTTCAAATATTTTATATCATATTATTTTTTCCTCTGCGGGTAGTTTATTTTTTCAATTAAGAGTTTTAGACTAAAACAGGTGGGTATTACGGTTGTACAAATTAAATCGCACCTATACCGATTTTATACGAAACCTTCGCTTAAAATAACATTGAACTGCATAATAGCTCGGGTATTAAAAAAAAAAAAAAAAATAATAAATAAATTATATAAATCGTAGTTAAATGGTTAATGCAAATCGATTATATTAATATTATGTATGTTTAGTTTGTATAACTTTTAATTCAATTTAAATAAAAAATAGTCAGGCTATTATATTATTAAAGTGTACAACGTATTCATTTTTATTATAATACTACACTCAGCTTAGCTACTACCATCAATCATATGAGCTCAAAACTCTTAGTTAAGTATAAGTTTAATTAACTTACCTACCCATGCCGTAGTGTCGTATACAATGCCAACAGAGCCGACAATATTATACATACCAAGTATTTAAAATTAATTTTTTGTACCTACGTTAAATCGTCAACCTGGAAAATAAAAAAAAGAGTTGATACTCAAGGGTGGACTAGACGGCGGGTAATTTCCAGGTAGGTCAGTGCCTAATATGGCCATGTGCCCAGTTATCGTTGTTAACAAAATTAAATGAAACATACATTTAAAAAAAAGAAAGGTAAGAAGGAAACGGGTGGGAACGGGTCCAGCTAATGAAATCGGTGGGAAGTTGGGAAAATAGGATACAGACAGAAATTAAATGTATATCTGTAAGCAACGATAAACCATTGCTAACGAAAAAAAGATTCTGAGCGGAGTTCAATTCATAGTGTTGCTTTGTCAACAATATATAATATGTCGAATTATGGTAAAATGATTACAACAATGTGTTTTTCGATGAAAAGAATGATTGTTTAAAAACGACTTAAAATAATAAAAACTTAATTATAACAAAAAAAAAAATAACCACAGTTACCAATGACGACCTTACTTTTAATCTTTAAATCTTTTTTAACCTAAAGTTCCAGGTTTTCCTCATAATCTCAAATATTAAAGATAATTTAAAACAA